ATAAGAAATTAATCAAAAACAAGGGGGAGAAACCAATTTTGTCATCAAATTCCTTTAGTGGGGCTTAAGCTCAGACAAGCAGAACACAATGATCATAACCGACACTTGGTGCAACAACTGGTTTACTATGTTGGGAATAGCATATATGTCGAGAAAAAAACTAGGATAACCAATTTCTTCATCAGGGAGCTGATTTTATAGAAACTTAACCGTTTTACTATTCCATGTGAACATAAGAAATTAATCAAAAACAAGGGGAAGAAACCAATTTTGTCATCAAATTCCTTTAGTGGGGCTTAAGCTCAGACATGCAGAACACAATGATCATAACCGACACTTGGTGCAACAACTGGTTTACTATGTTGGGAATAGCATATAAGTTCAATTGAAACAAAAACTAATCAAGAACTAAATCCATTAACCTCCATAATTGCATAAATGAAACAAATCAATTTCATGGAAGTATCTACAAATGATTGATTAAACAATAAAATGCAGAATTTTATGATATTTGCCTATAAACCTGCTAGAGATAATTCTGTCAACGGTGGTCCATTCAGGTCGAATAGCAACCCAATCATCATCTGAGTTTTTCATTGATTCCAGTTGTTTGTGGAAATTATTCAATCTACTCTTCAATCGAGGATGAGTCTTTGAAGCTCTTAGAAATTCTTTCTCAGGAACCCTGATTGAAAGGCATAACTAAATTATTAAATATGTTCGGTTCCAGAATGAATGTAGCAAATAAATAGAGAGAAATAAATTTAGTTTGGAAATAAAATAATTAATTAATATTAAACCAATAATATTAATGAAGCAGGATTAATCTAATTAAGTAAAAGACAACGGAAAAAGTTAATAGCTGATGTTGAGATACCAAATACAATGAAGGTAGGAAAATCCCTTCCATTTAACAAGATATTGTTTGGCATATGACTGATTTGAGCTAGACTTTGACGAATCATTCTCATCTACTACCGTAGGGCGCATTTCACAATCTAAGATCTTCTCAATTTCTGTCAGAGGGCTCACCTGCAAATACAACAGCCTCGATGAGAGTAAAAAAATGAACCTCTGTTCAATAATAGATGATAGAGAGTAAGTGAATTTTCTAAAACATACACACTCAGGGCAGCTCCATTTATCACCTAAAACTGCTTTGGAAGTAGGGTACAAGCATCTCTTATGAAAAGCATAAGTACACGTAGCACAGGGAATGAGGCTCCCACTAGTTCCACACATTTGACATGAGTCTTCTTTCTGCCAACACAAAATGAGTGCATTAATGTAAAGAATATCCAAATCAAGAAGGTATCAGTTCAGTATTGATTTACGATTTTAAAGCAACCCAAACCAAACTGATGCAAGTATTCTGCAACACTACTATATACAGAAATACAAATATTATATATTCATTTTTTATAAATTTAACATGCCAATATGACACACAACTCTTCTATATTTGTGCATATGTAATATCTCTACCAGTAACTTCAATTGGTGAATATAAAGCAAAACAACAGTTTTGAGAGATCAGGCATCATTAAAAATAGGTGTCTGTGATTGATGCTTTTAACCCTTGGAGAGTCTTGGAAGAAGAAGTTTCTTCAGTTCCCTTGACCATGCATGCCTCAGTTTTTGGCTGTTTATGAACATTTTCTTCTAAAATTCAATTGGCAATATATTGTGAATATGCAAATCAGAAGTATATCTTTTAGACAGAAGAATATTGGTATTAGATCCTCGTTCTTTTACCAGAAACATGAAGACAGCAGAAATAGGTTTAAAGTGCACGGGAATGGCCTTGACCATTGAGAATGAGATAATGGATGGTGCATGCCTATCTTCAGCATAAGCATACATACTTGTATATTAAATATCAAGAGTAGCATAATCAAGATTGGAAAAAAATAATTTTAAAAAAATTAAAAGCAGACAAATAAAATAAGATAATCTTATATAATTAAAAAACTTAACAAATACTTACCAAAATTTTAGTTCTTCATATGTATGTAATAGTTAAATTATTTTTAGCGCTGTTTATATGTTTATTTTAATGAATTTATATATTCCCCCCAGCATCAGCAACAACAAAGGCATGTCCAGCAAACAGCATAAGGTGGTTGTCAATACCAGTAAAGATCACCTAATGCTGGTGAATTTGCAGTTGTTCATGTACAAAACCTCGCATATTTATGCCAAATTTAACCCACCCACGAAACTCTAGCGAAGGATTTCTAAAGGATCGAGTGAACACAGATCCTTGACATTCATTTGTGCACGGTTACTCATCCCAAGTTTCAAAGGAACAGAAACCTACGTAACCTCATTACAAAGGAAATGAGCAACCACAAACTTTCTAACCTAAGTCAAAAATTCAACAATGCACCAAAATTAATAGAGAACAAAGTGCATAAACCATTCCAGATTCAATCTCCCAAAGAGTAAGCCGCAAACTTATAATTAAGAACGCATGTCCTATTCCCCCGGAGAACATCAGCTCAATAACCATAATCGCCAAGAAACCAAACAAGAGAAAGGATCACAAGCCATACCGCGTCGTCCCTCTCTATCTTCTCCGCCGGCTTCTCCTCCTGCTTGCTCTTCGAGCCCTTACCGACAACGAAGTCGTCGTCGTCAGAATCATCGAGATTGTATAGAGGCCGCTTCTCGGACCTCACCCGCAGCCTCTCAACCAAGCTACTCATCCCCACTGACCCGCTGCAGAACCCACCTCAGTAAACGGGGGAGAAACCCTAGACCACCACCGGGCAACGAACGACAAGCTAGGGTTTCCGCCCTCCTCGCTCAGAAACCCTAGAACTCCATCGCACGGAAGAAGGAGCGGTTCGATAGAGAATGGGGACAACGAAGATTCGGAGTCGAGGAAGTTTATATGGGTGGAGGGAGGAGGGAGAGAGGAGAGGGAGGATCGCTGTGTCGAGGATCGCCTCCGTTCGCTCGGGGAGGAATCGCCGAAATTTGCAGGCGGTGCTGCTACTGCAAGCACCTCAAAACCGTCGAGCCGTTGTCTGGTTCTAACCCTGACGGCGGGACCCCCATGTGAGGCTTTCGAATAGCGCCACGTGGGATGAGGTAGCCTTGGGGAGGCAATGTTGGGGACAACCAAAGGTCATCCGGATGTCTTTTTTTTATCCCATATTATTAAGCAAAAACAAAAAGGAAAGCATTCTATAAATCATATATATATATATATATATATATGAGTATAATTATATATGAACATATATTGCATAACTATTTACATTTTACACAAACTCATTTATATGATGGAATATATATATATATATATATATATATATATATATATATTCCCAGAATAATGTATATATGCACATATATTGCATATATATGATAGAACCTCACTAATTACACAATCTCATTTCTCTATGTACGGAAGTTATTTACTTGAACATTTTGAATTACAATTATATTGTAAATATTTTTAATCCTTGCTTTAAACTTTTGAAAGTGTCTTACTTTTATATATCCTCAACATTTAAGATGTTCATTGATGTTGTAATATATTCCTTCATTTTTAGTGTTTTAGATCCTAAATGTTTTTTTGTTACCATTATCAAATTGGTATTGAAAATGGAACGCTACTCACTCTTGCACTTAGAAACAAGAAGATCACAGAATAATGTGAATTATAGAGAAATAGTTATAATCCACTATAGTAAGAGGATTAAATGTATAGGTATTTCTTAAGTGAACAAAAGTAGAAGAGTAAGCAATAAAAAAAATTTGATGAATCATACAATTTTTTTGTTTTATGTATGTATTGTTATAGATAATATTATAACCATAAAAAAAATTATTGGTTATTGTTGGGCAAAAAATCGAATTAGAAACTATATAAGATTATTGATCGCAAAAATTATTTGTGACCAAGTAAATGCTATAACATTGTTTAAAAACCTCATGTAAAATGTAATAGAAACAATCTATTACATGCATTTCTCTTTTTCATGTAAAATATAAAGCAGAAATTGTTTTTTTATTAATTAATTATGCAATTATTTTAATTTTTTACTTTTTCTTAATATTTGAATGAGGAAAGACAAAGTGGCCTATACAAACCCATGGCAATTGATACAGTAAGATCATATGCATCAAAACCATCAAGGAAGGATATCAGTTCAAAGACTCATATATCTTGCTTCATATTGTATTTCTACAAATATTTATAAGAAATTTTTGATATTATTTTTCTTATAGGATAAAATGCTATACCATTAAAATAGAGACAAAAGAAATTGAAGGTACCAATTTTTTTTTACAGTGTCATGCTTCTGTTGAGATGACACTGTAAAACAAAGTGTAATTGGGACAAGATTAAACTGATATTGCGTCTACTTGTTCCACATTTATTGGTTTAATCATACTCATATGCTTTCTGTATCTTTCTCAAAAGTTTCTGGAGTAATATGGGCTACTCATTTAGATGCTGGTGTCTATGGTTTTGTCACATTGAGGATGTCCTTTCTCTTCTATGTTTCGATGGCTTGAGAGCACTGAAATGCAGCAAAATGTTTTCAGATCAGTGTTTCACATCATGATGTGTGTACTTTGGAATCAGTGCTACTTCCAATTACACTTATGAAATTATTATTATTTTCATTCAGATGCTTCACTTGAAAATTTTTTTGCATTTGCAAGATACTATTGAGGAAGTTATTACAAGGGACAAAAACTAGATGCAAGAAACTTTGTCTATGAAGTTGGTCTTCGTGAAGAGTTCCCTCATGTTCCACTGATAAAATCCTTCCTCGTAGATTCAGAGAAAGCAATTTCAACTTCTGAGGGTTGTTGCGGCGATTGTTTCTGGATTTATTCTTTTAATCTCAATCCATTAAGCCTTGAATGGAAATATATATTTATCTTCTATAGCTGTAGCAATCATTCTAATTGATGTAGTATTTCTCTCATTATATAAACCATCTTATGATCCCATCGTGTAACTTGTGTGGACATTTTGGGATACAAATACCTAAGCTTAGAAATGGTCTCAGATACCTTATGTGATGATTCTGTTGCCTGTGATTGATGTTCAAACTGGACGTGCTCATTGTGATCTATTGTAGATTAACATGTGTAGCAAGAGACCATTGTTCAGGCTGCTACTAATGTGTTTAAGAACGCAAGCTTGAATCTGAGTCTCCAACTGAGAATCTGCAGAAGCAATTCAAATATTTAGAGAATCTGCTGGTTATGGTCCTGCCAACAAGCAGATCCAGGCCGATAGTGTGGAACCAATGCCTCCCAACTGTGGGGATTCTATCATGCAATTCTGGATATCTTTGGAACACATTTTACAGTATGCTTCTGAACTGTTCAACATTGTTTTGGTCTGATTTATTAGCATACAGCCATAACCATGGATTATTTTGTATTTTGTATAGCAGAGCTGGTGGATACTCTGTTTAAGAATTGATAGTCAACTTAAACCTTCCAGTGAATACCTACTTGATCACTTTACTGCATTATGTTGTTCAGCGTTTGCTGCATGATTTGTGCTTGTCACAGCTCAAGTAACACTCAGTCTTATCTCTATCTGTTGCAGCACTACAGTCTCAATCTACTCTCTGCTCCTACAAAATATAGATAAAAATGTTTCCTAACTCCTCTTTTATCTTTCTTTGGCTTCTTCCTTCATGATACTTGTAAGTTAAAGCAGCCCAAGCTATCAAAAAATCTTAGCCTAATACACTGCACACCACATACCCAATGCTCAATAGGACACACAACACAACATTCCAATAGGCCACAAATGTGTTGTTTATAACAAGCAGCATGTTATTTCAGAGATCATTTCTTATGCAACGTTGATCCAAATAACTAAAAGAATATAGGAGAGACCAAAAGTGAAGGGGAAACAAAAAGAGAGCATCGAGAGTACCAAAAAGGAGACAAACTGCAGCTGTTTGTTACTGAGAAGTAAACATAAGGCAGGCAAGGAGGTGTAGAGTGGTGGTGGGTCAGTCGTTGGCGGTGGCGAGCTGGAGGGCGAGGAGCTCCTCCTCGGGGATGGTGCGGATGTGGCAGTCGGAGCGGGGGTAAGAAGCGCAGAGGAGGGCGTAGCCGCGCTCGACGACGTCGTCGCTGAGCATGCCCTCGCTCTGGTCCACGGCGCCGCTCACTAGCCGGGCGGGACACGTCATGCACACCCCTAGCTTGCAGTCGTGCGACACCTCCAGCCCCTCCTCCAGCGCCCGTTCCAGTATCGTCTCGTCCTCCGCCACCTCCAGCGTCCGCCGCTCCCCCTCGTGTTCTATCGTCACCTTGTACGCCGCCACCCGGAGGCGGAGGGAGGGGAAGCGGGCGAGCTTGACCTGGCGGTGGCGGATGCCGGGCTTGAGGACGAGCCGAGAGGTGGTGGTGGTGGGGAAGTGGAGGAGCGACGTCGCCATGTGCTGTGTGGAAGAGAACGCTTCGCACTGCGGACTGCGGGGATCGAGGATAAGGTGGTCGCAAGCCTCTCCTTTCATTTTCAATGAAAGGAAGAGGCACACGTTACTTCCCATCCACGTTTACCCGTCGCTGACGACAGGCCAATAGAGAGCCAAAGTCGCAGGTGAACCCCTTTGACCCATCCAGTATGGCCTACTTGAACAATAGGATCCCAAGCACAAGCACAAGCACAGTGGTCGGGGTAGGTTTTACAGCTGAAGAGAAGCTGTTAAGGTGGAGGTGCCAACGAAATAAGTGCCTCAAGAAGATGGATTTTCCCACCATGAAATAAGTAACCAAAACATTCATGTCACCTTCTGCAGTTACGCTATAAGGGGTTGATTCATTAAGGGTGCACTTGGAGAACACCACAAGATTGTATCTTGAGTTAAAGAAAGTCGGATTTATGGTTTAGACAAACCCAAAAAAGCTCAACAAGTTAGATCTTACATGTAGCATTATTCCTTATATAACCTCTTTCATATCATACAAAAAACAAAAAAAATAGAAAACAAAAAACATTCAGCTTAATGATATATACAGTATTTCAAACTAATTAATCAGTCTGATGTTTCTCTCCTTGAACTTACATGTTGAATTTTTTGTTGAGTTGAGCATCTCAGACATATTCCAAACCTAATTTTATATGTCACATGAGGGACTAAGGATTCAGCTATAAGTCAACCACCTAACATCTATGGACAGTCAATTCTGACACTAACATTGAAGATAAAACAAAGTTGCATTTTTTACTCAGATATCATTGAAGTTGAGAACCCTAACAGCATTATCACTTTGAGCAATCAAAAAACGGAAGTCCAGCTCAGTTGCAGTACCTAAGAGAGCCCCATGCATGGATTCGGTGAAGAAATTTGAGCTGAGAGTTTGGCCAACTCAAAATGTTCAAGCTTGTTTTGTATCACCTACTTCCATTTCATGTCATCAGAAACTGTGATCTTACTTACATACCTAAGCAGCAGCATTATTCATGTCTACTGTTGAAGCCTTACAAATCTCCATCTGGACTAGTAATGTAGGAGAAGTTGGCCACCATCACGGCCCAACTGCACCTGTATTTGAACCCATCCCACCCTGCCCATGATTTCCATCACACTAACCATTACCTCTTCGTCCTCCGAGAGATCGCTGGAAATGGCGAAGAGTTTGATGATGATGGGGTTCGTCATGGCGTTGGTGACCGTGCTCCCGGGCCTCGCGTCGGCACAGTCGGGCTGCACGGCCGTGATCCTCGGCCTCGCTCCGTGCCTGAGCTACATCACCGGCAACTCCTCCACCCCTTCCTCCTCGTGCTGCACGCAGCTCGCCCGCGTAGTGAAGTCGCGGCCGGCGTGCCTCTGCTCGGTGCTCAACGGCGGGGCGTCGTCGTTGGGGATCACCATCAACCAGACCCGGGCGTTGGCCATGCCCGGAGCCTGCAAGGTCCAGACTCCGCCGGTTAGCGCGTGCAGTGGTAGTGGCCGCTCTCAAGCCTGTTCATGCACTGCAGAACTTGTGGAAACGAAGGTGTGTTTATGGCATTGACTTGATTACTGCTTGATGGGTGGTGGCTGCAGCTGTGAGCAGTGGGCCAGCAGCTGCGCCAGAGGCTTCTCGCACGACGACTCCGGAGACCCCACCGACGCCGTCTGTCCCTGCCAGCCCCAAAACGGAGACACCATCGCCGCCGTCGGTTCCCAGCAGCGCCACTGCCGCAAGACCTTCTACACCATCAACTCCAACCGCAGGTACAGTAACCTCTTGTTGTTGCTGCTACGTACATTTGTGCTGTGACAAAGAACTCATCTTTTACTCTCTCTCTCTCGCACGCCTGAGCAAGATATATATGGTGCAGGAAGCGGATCGAAGGCTACGCCCTCAACTACTGGAGCAACTTCGGATGGGAGTTCTTACAAGCCAAGCAGTTCTCTGATGACTTCAGTCCTCTATGTAGCTGGATGCATCTTGTTGATGGCCAATCTGTGAGTCTACTGCATGATCTGGACTGTGGCTACTACTGCATCATTGGCCTCTAAAAGCTCGTCTATGTCGACTTTGTGTCACTTCTAATGCTGGCTCTGTTTTAATCGAATCATGGTTTTATTTGTTTATCTGTGTGATATAGAATGCAATTTTATTTGTTTCCTCAATGAAGAGATGGGTGTTTGTATCGTCTGAGGTGTAATATACAGTATGTATTACTTGTACTGCTGAAGTGGTGCCTCTCATAGTCCTCAGCAGAACTGCTACTACTCAATGGTTGGTCAATATAAAAAGCCTTTTTCTTATGATCCTTTTTCAACCCACAAATGAACATGAATGTCTTAAGAAATGATATTTGATGTCTTAAGAAATAATAAAATCCATTATAGAAGATGACAGCTTATCGCAATGTTTTGGAACACACACACACACACACACACACACACACACACACACACACACATATATATATATGAAGAACAGTTCTTAATTATTAGAGTAATACTTTATACACCCATTTGGTCAAATATGTTGTCAAGCAACCATAAGTTTAACAACATAATCAAATAATAATTATGCCATATTTGTGAAGTTGAAAATAATTACTTTTGGATAGATCTTAAGACTTTTATATTGTAAGATTATTTTAAAACAAGTTTTAAATTAGATCTTAAGAGTTTAAAATAAATATAATCTGTGGGAAGTCCCAATGGATCGTTGAAGGGTTGCAGTCCAGCACGCATCTGCAACAAGTCAATTAGTCCACCTTGGCGGCCAAAAGCCACTTGACAAGTGTTTGATAAAACAACACTTTAGCTACCGATCTCTTCTGCTCTCTCTCCTTCGATCCTCGTCGCATTTCAACAACATCTCTCTACGAAGCTTCTCTCGTCCCCAAAGAATGCAAACAGACTCCTCCGCCGTCCCACCCAACCACGATCACAGGAAGCAGGAACCAGAGATCACCTTGAGGCCCTTCGACCTCTCCGACGTCGGCGCCTTCATGACATGGGCGTCGGACCCCCGCGTCACCCGCTTCCAGCGCCGCGGCCCGTGCACAAGCGAGGAGGACGCGCGGCGGTACCTGGCGGACCACGTCCTGCCGCACCCATGGTACCGAGCCATCTGCGTCGACGGCCGCCCCGTGGGCTCCATCAACGCCAAGCCCGGCCAGGGCGAGGAGCGCTTCAAGGCCTCCGTCGCCTACCGCCTGGCCTACCAACATTGGGGCCGCGGCATAGCCACGGCTGCGCTCAGGGCGGCCGTTTCCTCTCTCCTCGAGGAGTGGCCGCACTTGGAGAGGCTGGAGGCGATCGCCGAGGTGGAAAATCCGGCGTCGCAGCGGGTGCTGGAGAAGGCCGGGTTTCTGAGGGAAGGGCTGCTGAGAAAGTACGTCATGTTGCATGGGAAGAGCAGAGATGTGGTGATGTATAGTTTACTGGCTACCGGCCCAAACTCCGATGACATCTGACTGTGGAAATGCTGTGTGTGGCATTTGGTTTTTGTGCTTGCAGACGTATCCTAAATTTCTGGACTTTGGATTTGATCCCACAAACTTTCTTAGAGAAGAAATCATCGTAAGAACATGTTTTAACACCAACAAATATCTGTCTTGGATTTGATCCTACCAGCTTTCTTAGAGAAATCACTGTAAGAACATGTTTTAACATCAACAAATAACAAATATACGTCGAAATTATATCAGTTCTTCAAATAGATTTAATGGTCATTCATGATATCGGGACTTTGATAAGAAATTTCATATTGTTTTGGATCTGGCATAAAAATACTTTCTAAAAACTGGTTATATTTAGGAGCTAAAGCATCAGAATTTGCATGAATTTATTAGCTTTTCTAATGACAATATATGGCATTGACCTTAACATGTCAATAGATCTCTACCTTCTCTGAAAGCAAAACTCATGGAGAACACCAACGAAGTGAATGAATGATTTGGTTCTTCAAGATCACTTCCATCCCCATTTGATTAGGATCCACAAACCACTAAAAAAAAAGGCTTAATTGGAGATCAAATTTGCTGTGGTAATTAGAAGCATGGATCACATCGTGAGTGATGACTCCTCTGAGCACTTGTCTCTATCCCATACTCATCAAGCATCCCTTTGATGCAGCATTCACTACTGCAAAATGCTTTCTCACCTCTGAAAGAAACATACAAGAAGCTCAGACTCAGTCCTACATATGTCAAGACACAAGTGAAATTAACATACTAAATCAGAGAAATCATAAGCATAATTCTACATCATAAAGTCTTGACATGAAGATGAAGATGTCCACTTTGTCATTGTAAGTGCAGTTCATATCTAAAATTTTCATTAAGCTGAATGGCACATTATTATTGACTAATTGAAGACAGATTAAGCTGAATTAAGTTTGATGCAAAGGGAATTATCATCAAACTTACTTATACATGAAGGTTTCCTTTCCTTGCTCGACATTCTTCTTGCATGCGCAGCAGAAGCTCAAGGACTCATTCAAAGGATACCCTCTGCTATCAGCTGCAAAGCTGCGGCTTTTGGTTGATCGAGTGAAGCCATCTCCGCACTGCTCCACTGCGCAGCTGTCGAAGATGTGTGTAGTCCTCGGATTCGGGCCATGAAAGATCACGCAGGTGTAGTCCTCCGAGAGCTCCATCTCGCTCATGGAGAAGTTGCTTCCGGCGAAGACCCGAGGGGAGGAAGCTGGCATCTCCGAGCCGGGAGAGCTCTGGGCAGGAGAAAGGTGAGCCAACTGGGAGTCTCTGTTCTTGATGCCGAACTCGATCGGGGACCCAACCGGCGAGTTGGAGGTCGGACAAAGGGAAGGAATTTGGATCTTCAGCTTTGTTCCGAGCAGAACCATACTGCGCTGTGGCTTGGTGTCGAACTGTTCGTCACTGAGAGCGTCGATGATGCCGAGCCCAGTGGGTCTCGAGCCTCGATTTCTCCATGGATGCTGCTTGGTGTCTGAAACAGAGGCGCTGCTAGTGGTAATCGCATCAAAAGGGGGGATATGATTGCCAATGGAAGACAAGTTTCTGGTTTCTGGTGTGGAGGTTGGGCTCATGGCAGCCTCAGAGAACCTTGCAGAAGGCAAGAGTGAGGAAGCTGCGGGCTTGCCACAGCTGCTGCCGCCATGGAAAGATGACATCAGGCCTTGTTTGGCACCGACTGCTCTGGATCTCTTCCAAAGAAAGATGTTTGGTTGGTACATTGAGATCTCTGCGGAGGTGAAGACCTTGAGAGTTCCAAGTAGTGAGTGAAAGCTCACAAAAGGAAAAGGAAAAAGGAAGAGGTTCTTCCATCTTTCCTTTCAAAAGAAGAGAGAACAAGTGCATGAACTGACCTGAGTTTGGCACTGGAATCTCTTCTTGTCCTCCTCCTCCTCCTCCTCAGTTGCAGAACTTTGAATGATGTAAAGATTGGATCTTTACAGAACCGAGAGGGAATACAAATTTGAGGTAAATTAGAACACAAAACCAATGCAAACAAAAAGAGACAGTGACTGATATCAGTTAATCGCAGGCATCAATTCCAACTAAAGGTCTCATCTTTTTTCGGTGTGTTTGTTTGAAGGCTTCTTCTTTACCCAGCCAAAATGCCCTCAGCACTCCCCATCGCTAAAGACCGGAAACCATCTACGGAACCTCCTATCTCATAAAAATCCGATTTTGGCAGTGAAGAACTCATCAAGGTGGCGCCTTTCCCTTCCCTTCCTCACTCTCTCCGCAACAACACATCAGAGAAGATGAATTAGACATGCACAGGCCACCCAGTGGACGAGACACTGGCTCTCTGCCCAGGAAAACGGCTCCGGAAATGAGAGCTGCGAGGCAGCCGTTGTGGCATCGTGCGTGGGAATCGTATTAGAGAGAGAGAGAGAGAGAGAGAGAGAGAGAGATGTTTTGGATGTGAGCGTTTTCTTCCGTCAATATCTTCTTTATAGACAAAAAGAGACGGCAGAAATGACAACGTAGTAACTTCCTTTTTCCCTTCTCTCCTCTCATTGCTCGCCTCTCTGAGCTAAAAAGGAACCCCTGCGACCATTGATCTCACTGTCGGTGACTGCGATCAGGGTGTTCATGAGAAAGAGATAGAGCGAGGGAGAGAGAGAGAGAGGCGATGACATGCAGTGCGACTCTCAAGTGACGGCATGGGCTTCAATTTCCACTGAGAACTCTGCACTGTCTCTGCAGTTGGGTTTCAGGAAATGAGTCGTCTTAGAGTTGGGGGGCAATTTGTGCTTTAGATTGCGAGTCTAACTGGCTTTGGCAATCTTATATTACATAAAACAGTAATGGCAGCATAGAATGCGTCAATATTTAGATGATATGTAGATGGAATTTAATGTCACCTATCACATATTTTATTTCTTTTCATAAAATAATTCATGTAGAGGAATCAAAGATAACAATTTAAATTCTAAGTGTAATACTTGTTGGCTCATAATATCTTTTATTTATAGTCTCTCATCCTTTCGACCTTTTGCATTTTAATAGTACAACATGAAATATATTTTTGAATAATTATTTGATCCAAAATTTCACTAAGTTAAGTTTTATCATCAATATGAAAAAGGTAGAAGAAGTGAGGCTCCTATCAATACAAATAGGATTTATAGAGGATCAACTTATATAATCTTATATCTTAAATATAAAAGAACAAATATCAATATTTACTCTAAAAAATTATATCCTGTATATAAAACTTACACTAATATAATATTTGATAAGGTATATTTTTGCCTCTTAATATAAAGAGTTTATTATTTTGATATTTTCATATTGTAAAAAAGTAAATTTATCATGTAAATGTGAAAAAAATCATACTAGAAAGCTTTAATCTAATTAAAAATATCATATAAAACATGATCCTATTAAGTCGAGTTATTTTCATAACTCGATTCTTACTCTTCTAACCCACAAATGAATAAATATCAAAACTTATTCTTAAAGGAATATACTTAAACTGAAGTCAATATATACGGGCTTATCTTTTTAATACAATAAAATTTATTTCCATGACTTAATCCTAATCTTTTTATATTGTAAAAGAATATATTTATCATTATATCTATCAAAGTTGACTCTCATCAATAAAAAAAAATCCTAATTTAATTAAAAATATCAGATAAAACATCATCTTATTAAAGTCAAATCTGAACAATAATTGGATCATAGCTACCAATCTCCCTCTCTTACATGGATGTTGACTTAGACATTGTCGTCTGGTGCCAAGGATGCCCAGAAACGGCCAACTTAGTAACAGTTAGGATCACCACTTAGTTGGGTGTTGGACTCTCTCACTTATGGACTGAGGAATGCATGGGTTTTGAAATCAAACTTATCCTGAGGATGATGTGTCTGGAGTGTCATCATATGGCATCTTATTTATTTTGACAACTGAGTCCATCTCAATTGGATCTAAATTTTTTGCAGCTAGAGAGGATTTATGAGGCCATGATGATGATGACAATAGAGCTTCACCTATACTTCAATTTTTATTGGTCAACCATATGATAGGGGTGATCATAACTATTGATTATTCCTATAAATTATAACCAAAATTGATTATTTCAAACTAGCTAAATATAAAAAATAAATAAGTACAATGATATAGTAGTTAATACTTTAGATTTAAGGCCTATTGGTTCGAGAACTAGAATCGATAATTTTAGAATTGGAATCAGTTCGATTTCGATTGTAAATTTGGTAGAATCGAAACCAAAATCGATGATTGTGGATGATGATGATGATGATGATGCCCCTATTAAGCTTGTTAGGATATGGTTGACATTAATGTCAACTTAGCAACTTCTGTAGCTATTCACTTGAAATCATGTTTCATGACCTCGTTCTTCTTTTCCATGGTTTACTGAATATAATGGTTGAAGAAAACCATGACTGATGAGTGGCACTGAGCTTTCTTTCATCAAGGAAGCTTGACACTGTTTGCTCTAAGCTTTTGGAATGGTGTGATTCTGATAGACTGTAGAGAACTGCAGCTTCTGTTGATGACATCCATCTTTCATGGACTAGTGGTGATGGTCTACTAATTAGGGAAAGATAAGGATAAACCCTTCAACCTTACCTCAAAACTTTGTTGAGCAACAAAGCAGTGACCATGGCCACGAGGACCATAACCTCATCTCTCTGACATTGTTTCAGGAGGTGGTGGGCTTCCATTCCTTGGTTTGTTCTCTTCTTGTATCTTGAAGTGATTGGCTTCCTTCTTCAAGCAGGAATAGTGATGAGACATTGGAGGTTACCATCAAGCACAACAAGTCATCAACCAATAACCCCACAGACAAAGGGGAATTAGCTGAGAGGAATCACTCAAGAACAGCAATTAGTCCCTTGTGACATTGATCAGATGAGGATACAAACAACACACATTGAATAGCCCCTTTGTTGTTGCTTGGGAAGTCTAGGCTTCAGAGGCAAATCCTCCGGTAGGTAAGAAGAACTTGTCCAGTAACAGCAGTGACAAAAGAAGTCCACCTTAATCATTCTTGTAGATGTAGTATTTGTGTGCTGGAGAAACATTCATGGAAAAAAGGATGTAAAACAACACATCCATCCCCCAATGAGGCATGCAATTGTTTAGATCAATGTATAATTAACTGAGATTGAGAAAAACAATATGCAGAATGATCTCTAGATGGAAGAGAAAAAAAAGAAAAAGAAAGGGGGATTACAATTTCATTGGTTTTTCTTTTGTAGTCTTTCCTGCTTGGACTTCCCATTGTTCTTATCATGATAATGATCAAGGAGCACCTACCACTTTCATTGACTTGTATGAACACTGTTGCCTGGAGAAGTTGGAAGCTCAAATTTTTGGCCATTTCTCAACCTTGGCTCAGATATGGGTACTTGAAGTTCCTGCATAATTCAAGCAAGAAAGCTAATCTAGAGGAGCTTTACTCCTTTTCCAACTGTATCATTCGAATGATGCCATCTGCAACTTTATGCTTTGCTTCTACAGTCGAGTAGATGCTACTCTGGCATTATATATTTTGGTGCATATCAACTTCAAACAACGAAGAGCTGTCTTCAAGAAGCTTACAAGAATTTCTTCGCCCATCACATTCATTGGAGTCATATTGATGACTTGATACAATCATGCCTGAGCTCCTTCGAACTCTCTGCATTATCTTCTTCAGCCAAGTCATTTTCAATGCTAGAAGACATGGTTTTCAAGCTTTTTGGTGCACAACTTCTTCCTTCTTGTTTTGGTCTTGCCAACTACAAAAGATCTTATAGATTAATCCACACCCTTAGTCTCCCAGTTGGTGAGCAAGGAGATGATGAATTCCCGACATTTGTGTCGTTACTTCAAGTGGTTGTCGCTTTCAGTGTTATGTGGTGTGGGGATGCCACTGAAAACAATGCATGCTGCCATGTCGTGTCATATGAGATGGCTACTTTGCTCACTCCAACAGTCTTTCTTCACACAATCAAACTCTTGGTTGACAAAGCCCAAATGAAGTATTCATTAAAATGTGTCATGGGTTTAGGTAGAGATGATAATTGATTGGCATTTCTTGAAAGACATTTGTTTTGATTCTTTTGGTTCTCATTCCATGGAAGGTCAAGGATTAAATCTTGAGCATTGGATCACTCTTGTGCTTAAAGAGAACAATCCTTCCAGTGGGCTTGAGAAGTAAAAGTGGTTTTGTTCATGTGAAATCTACTGCCAAGAAGATCAAATGAGGAAGGAGAAATGTGCAGGGAATTATGCTGTCAAAGATGCCCCTCCTGTGATCCTGATATCTGGATTGGAACGCCTCAAGTTTGTTCCCAGAGTTTTAGAACTCTCGAAAGATTTCAGTTTCAGAAAAAGAAATGGTGGGTCCTTTGAGGATGACTTTCATGGCTAAGGGAAATTAATCTTATCATCAAAGTCCTTTTCAGAAAAGAAGTATGTGTTCATTGTGGACTTACACACGGTAACCTCAATGATTGGGCACCCAAAAACCTTCTTCATACTCTGATAGGCTTATAGATTCTTACAGAAGTGGAAGAAGAAAAAGAGTGGTGAAGGTTTTTCGTATATGAATGGATGATCTTTGATCAATTTTTGTCGCAATGCGGCTGCAGGCACGAGAGATGGGGGTGTTCTGGTCTGTGCCAGAAGCTTTCATTACCTAAAGATTTAGTCTTGAAATGTCAGAGACAGTGCCTCTTCTTCTCAAGCACAAAAGAAGGAAAAGAGCATAAGAATTAACTGCTTGGGTTGAGTCATCTTCTCTGGACTATTTCTTTGGGTGTTTTCCTTTGTCAAAGTTGGAAAATTCAGATTGCAGAGTGTCTGGAAGGAAGAAATGGTCTCTTGCATTTGACCCTGTAATGGATGAGATTGTTTTCATGATAAGATGCTGATATGTGATCGATTCCATGCTTCCATTTCATCTATGGAGACTCCACTAGTTGTCTAAGAACATGACAGAGAACAGGAAACCATCTCTGTCTGCCTCTCTCTCTCTCTCTCTCCTACCTTGTTGAATCCAGTTGGCAGACATCTGAATGTGAAGCTGAAGGACAACACTGAAAATTACCTAGCAGCTTCTTATCAACTCTACTCTGGACTACTTTGATGCATTTGTGGTGGAGCAATGGTAACATCAAGTTGCTCATTTGCACAAGTTGACAGAGCTTCATGAATCTGTTCATTCTGATATCACTGAAACTGAGATTTTGAACCCACATAACCAAATTTATCCAAGGATGTTACCATTGCCTCGACGTCAAGATGAAATGCCTGTTCACCAAATGAACATGATGATACTCATCTGACTTGAAAGATGCATCCATAGAGATCCACATTATGACACTACTGCACACTTCTAAATTGCTTTACTATCATCACAAGGCTAATAATAAGTACTTGAATGAACCAAATACAATATGGAGACATTGATTCTATACTGAACACTTGTTGCCAGTAACTCGTGCCATAGCATGAGAAAGAGAGAGAAAGAGCCATAAGCACTGAAACAAATTCCTCCCCTGAACTCATACAACAAACTTAAGCTTGTGCAGACTCATATTTTACTACAGAGAAACAAGAAATGGCATTGTTAACGAAGCCAAAGAAACAGCTACTCAAGCGTAAACAATGTCTTTAACTCAATAATCATCGCAATCGAAGAGGAAGAAATGAAAGAT